GATACAAAACCAACATCCCCAAATCATTTGCATTTATTTACACTAACAATGAACTGTGGTTTACCAAAATGGTCTCTAACTAGTTTGCCTATATTTACTATTATCACTTTTAAACCCATTAGAGAGAATTACATTCTGAAGATACTAATTCTTTCATATGCTACTCTTCTAATAACTGTCAAAGCGCTCATTATTGCTTTTAAGATGAAGAAATTACTATCACTAACAAAGACTACAAGACCTTGCATGGTCTGGCTCCTACTGTATCCACCTCTCTATCTTAATCTTTCAATCCCTCCACTTTGCTCTTTAACTTCTTCCTTCCAAGATATCATGCACCTGACAGCTTCAGATAATTTGCACATTCTCTCTTCTTGACTTAGACTTCTTTTACTTCTCTGCCAACTCATTACTCACTTGAAGTTGTCATGTTACTTTTCCAGAAATAATTGCCTATTACCTATACCAGATCAGTATATTTCATGTACTATCTTATCATACCTGCACTTTTCCTTGATAACAGTTATCACAGGTTTGAAGTATATATACCTACTTAGTGAATAGTTGTCTTCCCTGTTGGATTATAAGTTCTATAAATAAAGGGTTCAGTTGTCTTTGTCTGATGATTTAGGGTCTGTCACATAATAGGCATTTTATAATTTTGAATTAATGAGTAAATAAGATATGTAGCAGGTAGTCAACATATCAACCATAGATCACAAAATAGTGAACTTCAAATGTGTTTGGTTGGGTTTACACAATGCATTAAGACAGTTTTCATTGGATGCCAACATGTAAATATTATGTGATTTCCATGAAAGCTACATTTCAAGATTCTCTTTAATAAAAACAACAACAAAACACAAAGAACTTGCATCACTGGGCACACAATTACCTCTGACTAATTGGCCAAATCTTAGTGGCTTCTCACCCCAGGGTTGTTTTTGTTTGTTGTTTGTTTAATATTTTTGTTTATTTTTAGAGAGAGAGGAATAGAGAGGGAGAGAAACATCGTGCCTCCTACCAGGGATCAAGCCTGCAAACCAGGCCCTGCCTGGGAATCGAACCAGCAACCCTTCATTGCATAGGATGACAATCAACTAGTCACACCGGCCAGGACTGGCCCCACTGTTTCGAAGTGCCTTTTCTCTTTTTTCAATCACTAGTCATGTGATTTTGCCCTTAGAGACACAGATGGCTGCATGAAAAGGAACCACAAAAGATGACTGTGTACAGTGAGAAGAGAGCCCTGAGGAAACCAATAATTGAGGGACAGGCAGGAAATGAGAAACCCCTGAAAAAGCATGAGAAGTAGTTAGGTTCCAAGAAAACTGGGAAAATGTGGTTCATTAAAACCAAAATAAAAAAGGGTTTCAAAGAAATAATTTTTAAAAATAACCTTTGCCTCTTACCTTTTTCATTTCCTCATACATCATAAACAGAATACTGAAGTCATGTCTGTGCTCATACCAGCCTCTGATGTGATCAAACCAACGGCTTCCTACCACTGGGTGGGAAATTAGTAAGTGACAAGGTAAAGATGTTGCACTTATCAAACAGCAAA